ATGATGATGATGTCGATGATGAGGATGAGATGGTGATGATGGTGTCCCGATGATGATGATGATGCTGATGATGATGATGATAATGATGATGATGATGATAACGATGGTGATCATGATGGTGTCCCGATGATGATGCTGCTGCTGATGATGATGATGACGATGACTTTCCCGATTCTGCTGTTGATGATGCTGATGTTGATGATGATGATGATGATTGTGATGATGGTGATGTTGATGATGGTGGTGTCCCGATGATGTTGATGACCGTGATGATGATGATGTTGGTGTTGATGATGAGGACGGTGTCCCGATTATGATGATGTTGGTGATGATGATGTTGATGTTGATGTTGTTGTTGATGATGATGACGTTGATTGTGAGAGCGGTTGTGATATCGATAGTGAGATCGATAGTGTGATATCGATTGTGAGATCGATTGTGAGATCGTTTGTGAGATCGATAGTCAGATCAATTGTGAGATAGATCGAGTGAGATCGATTGTGAGATCGATCGAGGGAGATCGATCGAGCGAGACCGATACTGAGATCGATAGTGAGATCGATAGTGAGACCGATCGAGTGAGACGTTGGTTCCTCCCCCCCCCGAACCTCCTTATCACCCGAAGGGTGGTCGTATAGGTACCTCCTCTTCCTCCTCCTCTTCCTCCTCCTCTTCCTCCTCCTCCTCCTCCTCCTCCTCCTGGCTCAAGACCGCGGCCTCTGGGGGCCGTGGTCACCACTGCACTGCGCCTCTGGTCAGGGCCAGGGGCTTGAGGCCCAAACCCGCGCTTCCCCCCGCCCCGCCTGGTCCGCCCCAGGCGCAGGCAGCAGTGCCTCCGAATGCGTGATGTCTCGTGCGCCGCCCGACGGAGCGTGGCCCCTCTTAAGACATCTGGCAGCGCCGCCCGCCGAGCACGAGCCCGCGCCACTCATGCGCGAAAGTTCCAGCAAGCCAGCTGCAGCGGGGCTGGCCTCCTGGCGGCTGGCGCACCCCCCAGCCTCGACACCAGCGAGGCGCACCACTGGGAGTTCAGCTACTGGTACGACGACAATTCCGAGTTAGACGCTACCGTGGAGACAGCCACCGGGAAGGCTTTCGACACCAGCGAGCACTGCAATTTCGAGAAAGTGCTCGAGCTACACCCGCAGCTCTCGTTCACGCGGGCCTTCCCGCCCCAAGACCGAGAACTCGCCATAACGGATTTCCTCGCGCTGTGGCCACAGTCAGCGGATGCCACAGTCAAGACATCCACGAGCACGACCATCGTGGACCTGCAGGCGGACGAGGTGCTTGCTGCGCTGGCTCCTGGCGCCCGCCCGCCCACCGCGTACGACGGCCCCTTCCCGAAGGCTGCTGTTGGAGAGGACACGGGAGCCGTGCCTGCTGCTGCGACGGTATATCGCCCTACCGAGAAGCCTGTAGAGGGTGTGGACATGCAGTTAGCCACGTCGCCCGAGGACTCCTCTGTGCAGGCAGGCGTACACAGGCAAACCGTACGCGATTTTCTCTGCCTACGAGATGATCACGAAGACGGCGGCCGACCCGACTGTGGATCGCGGAGGCCCTAAAGCCGCAGCCGCTTCCGATCAAGACGGCCAAGTTCAACAAGGTGTCTGGCATCTCCCCCGACAGCAAGGGCCTGATCCCAAAGGTGAAGATGACCGCAACGTTTGCGGCCATGAAGGTCAAGGGGCAGACCTACCTCAAGACGCTGGTGGTGGACGGATCTGGTCATGGTCCCCGCCTGGTCCTACAAGAAGCCCGCTGGCAAATGGGTGGAGCTCCACCACCAGAACCAGGACAACTGCGCCATCGAGAGGCGCTACCAACAGTATCTTCCATACCCCAGTGGCATGATGAAGTCCAAACTGAAGTTGCTGGATGGATGTGTCTGCGTTGTGAATGTCTCATCAATGCGTGTGGTAATGCCGTCCAACATAAAGTTCCAGCTCAAGCGTGACGCGATTCAAGCTGAGTTGACCGACGGTGAATGCAGGCGGCCCGCCACTCTGACCGCCGCCCGTGCCTGGCTCCTCGATCGATGGAGCTGGAAGTGTGCCGTTTGTGCGAAGGCCGCAGGCTGCAATCATATTGACAGAGTATGTCTTTGCGAATGCTCTGATTGTGTGATCAGGTAGACGAGCCACCTCTGGCGCGTCCCTGGTCTTGCTTGGTGAGGCGTGAAAGACCCCCTGAGGGTCGGCGAGTTTCTCGCTGATCTGATGGCGGATGCCATTGCGCATCCCGGCCGTAGATGCGAGCCGATTCCGGTTCGACTCGAACCACCCCACCAGCCGTGCGTTTGTCCTCCTCCTCCTCCTCGTCCTCCTCCTCCTCCTCCTCCTCTTCCTCCCCCCCCCTTGTTCTCCCCCCCCCCCCCTCCGTCTCGCTGCCACCTCCTCTGCCTGCCCGCGCTCGAAAAGTGACCTAAGGTGCTGCGACAAGCGAGCGCCCCGTGGATGTTTCTTGCGCGCCCGCCCTGCCCTTGGCATCGTCGCGGCCACTGCTGGCGTGGCAGTCGTCGGCGCGTCCACACGCCTTCTCCTCCTCCTCCTCCTCCTCCTCCTCCTCCTCCTCCTCCTCCTCATCCTTGTTCTCCCCCCCCCTCCGTCTCACTGCTGCTGCTGGCGTGGCAGCCGTTCGCGCGTGCGCGCGCCCGTCCCGGCAGCGCCCGTCCCTCGGGAGCCAGCTCCGTGCGGTGCTCCGCCGCATCCTCTTCGGTGTCGTCGTCTTCAGGCTCCGCTGCTCCCCCCCTCCGTCCGGTGTTCCTCGCCCTCGTCCTCCTGTTCCTCCCCCTCGCCCCTCTTGTTCCCCTTCCTGTCCTCCTCGTCCTCCTCCTCCTCCTTCTCCTCCTCCTACTCTTCTTCCTCCTTTTTCTTCTCTCCCCTCCTCCCTCCTATCTCCTCATCCTTCCTCCTCCCTCCCTTTCCCCTTCCTCCTACCTCCTCCTCTTCGGAGTAATTTTCTCTTCCTCTCTCATAGCATCAACAACTCATCTTCTCTCCCTTCTCTTCCTCTTCCTCCTCCTCCTCCTCCTCCTCCTCCTCCTCTCCTCCTCCTCCTGTTCCTCATCCTCATTTCTCCCGTCCCCGTCGCACTTCTCCCCGTCGTCTTCTCGTCCTCCTCGTCGTCTTCTCCCCCTACTGCGCCTCCCCCTCTCGGAGACGCCGT